AGCCACTCTAAACCACCCCAGTCGTGGCCCAACATCAAGTGGAGTGGTGAGCAACTGTCATACACTTCCCCATGAGGCCAAGCAGAGTTGGAGCCACTCCATCTACCCATCCCCACACCTCGGGCCACTGCCGAAGCTGTACCTTATTGAGAAAACAGTACCTCATTTGCTTAGAGCAGTCATGCCTCCCCAGTGCCTAAGTTGAAGCAGCACCCTGCAGCCCAAGAAACTGCGGCTTAGCTGTCCAGATCAGACACTGACCTCAGGTGAAGCAGTGACTTCAATCCCAGGAAAATGGTGCCTGGGCTGTCCAGAACAGTCGTGTTTCCCTGGCCTGAGCTGATATGGTGCATTGCCCCCTGGAGAATTGGTGCCCTGGCCCAGCTGAGCAACTGCACATCCCAGGGCTGGGTTGACGTCCCTCACATCCTAGGGAAACAGAGCAGTGGCTGAACTGAGACACCCACCGTACAGGCCAAACAAGTCTAGTGTTCTGCATTCCTGTACTAGCCCCTGAGCATCAGAGCTGCTGAGACACTCCCTGGGGAGTGGAGTCATTGCTGTGCCGTTCCCTTTACCTCCTCCCTACCAGGACCCCAAATGACAGCTGTACTCTGTCATTCTGGGGCACTTGCTGCCACTGCACCTGGCCTCACAGAGTCTGGGATACTGCTGAGCCCTACTAACCCAGGTTAGAGTCACTACTACACAGTGCCTCACCCCCTGGGACCCAAGTTGTCACTGAGCCCCATTGGCTTAGGTTTCTGAATTGCAGCCGTACCCTATTCCCCAGACCCAAGCCTTCAGAATAACGCTTCTTCCCCAGAGTTGGGCCAGTGTTGTACAATCACAGCTACAACCTGGCCCCTTTGGCCTGAGCTGCCAGGGAGGTGCCTGACAGTCATAGATCCTGACTCTGGACAATCTACATCCAACCTTGCCACAGAGACTAAACCTGCACCCTAAGGCCCAGTAGCCACAAATGGTTTGCAAGACCCTGAGCCTAGAACCCCAGCCTCCAGTCAGTCTGAACACCTAGAACACCATTCCTCTTGCAGCTGTTTGTAGGCTGTGACAGACCTGACACCAAGAGAGATCCCCTTGGTTAAATCTCCCTGTTGTGAGAGAAGTGAGAATAGGAGAATCCCCAAAGCCCTTGACGCCAAGAACATTAACAACCTATACTGCAGCTGCCACAAACTTCTATAGCCGAGGTTACCGAGGCATCCACATTGATTGCTGATGTTGAATGCTGCTGAAGAAGCTGCATGGAGACTATATCACTGTACCTATCTAGTGACAGAATCACCACACCCTTCCCAGCTGTCACATTAAAACCCAACTGTAAGTGGAAGTCTTTCTCTACCAAAGCCATTCTAGAAAGCTTGAAAGCGGCAGTTGTATCATATGTGTAGACATCAATGTGGTGACACAGGAAGTAGGAAAAAGCAAGGAAATATGACACCATGAAAGGAACAAAATAACTCTTTATTACCACTCCCCAGTAAAAAGGCCATCAATTAATTGCTGGAAAGGAAACTCAAGATAATGATTGTAAGGAAACTAGTGAGACACTAGGAAATACAGATAATTCACCTAATATGGTTCACAATATAAATAAAAAAGTCAACAAAGAGAAATGATAAAATAAGAACCAAACAAGCCAATGAATAAAAAATACAATAGAGAACTTTTGCAGTATTTGATCAAGTAGAAGAAGGAATCTCTGAGCTTTAGGGTAGGTCATTTGAAATTACCCAGTCAGAGATAAAATAAGAATAAAAAGGTGTGAAGAAAAACTGTGAAACTGGTAGGACATCATTGTGTGAACAAATGTTTGTATTAATGGAATTTTCAGAAAGAGGAGGGAAAAGACATAGAAAACTTATTTAATGAAATGATAGCTGAAAAGTTCCCAAGTCTGAAGAGAGAGATGGATATCCAGATCCAAAAAGCTGATGATCCCCAAAGAGATTCAACTCAGAAAGGTCCTCTCTGAAGCACATTATAGTCAGAAGTAGAAAAGAGAATTCTAAAAACATCAAGAGAAAGGTGTCAAGTCACATGTAAATGAATACCCATGAGCCAAACAGTAGATTTCTATACAGAAACCTTACAGGCCAGGAAAGAATGGAATGATATTTTCAAAGTGCTGAAAGAAGAAAGAATAGCAGCCAAGGATACTATACCCAGCAAAGCTATCCTTTAGAAATGAGGGAGAAATAAAGTCTTTCCCAGATAAGCAAACATTAAAGGAATTTATCACCATTATACTGGTAAATACATATGCTCCCAGAACTGGAGGACCCATATATATAAAGAAAAAAAAAGTTTTTTTGTTAAGCCTCCATGGTAAGAGACCTAAAGCGATTATTTTAAAATTTAAAGGGAGCGACTGATTCCAATACATTAATTGTTGGGGACTTCACCCCCCTCCCACTTTGGATAGATCAGCAAGACAGAAATCAACAAACAAACATTAGATTTAAATTGCACTTTAGATCACAGACTTTACAGAAAATTTCATTCAGTGACTAAAGAATACACATTCTTTTGATTAGCACATGGAATGTTCTCTAGGATAGACCACATGTTAGGTTACAAAACAAGTCTGAACAAATTTAAAATAATTGAAATCATATCAAGTATCTTTTCTGACTACAATGCAATAAAGCTAGAAATCAATAACAAGAAATTTTTGAATTGTGTGAGTACATGGAAATCAACATTTCTCTGGAATGACCAATGGGTCGATGAAGAAATTAAGAAGGAAATTTTAAAAATTCTTAAAGCAAATGAAAAGAGAAATATAATATGCCAAAACCAAAGGGTACAGCAAAAGCAGTGTTCAGAGGGAAGTTTATAGCAATAGCTGCCTACATCAAAAAAAGTAGAAAGATTTCAAATAAGCAACCTAACTATGCATCTCAAGAAACTAGAAAAGCAAGAAGAATTCAAACCCAAAATTAATGGAAAGAAATAAATAATAAAGATCAGGGCAGAAACAAATGAGATGGAGACTAATACAAAATACAAAGGATCAATAAAATTAAGAGATAAAATTGCTAATTTGCTAGCTTGACTAACCAAGAAAAAGAGAAAAGACCCAAATAAATCAGAAATGAAAAAGGAGACATTACAAATGATATCATAGAAATACAAAGGATCATTAAATATTATTACAAACTATATACCAACAAATTAGAAAACATAGTATAAATGGATGCATTTCTTGACTCATATAACCTACCAAGATTAAACCAAGAAGAAATAGCAAACCTGAACAGATTAATTTCGAGTAACAAGACTGAATCTTTGTAATAAAAGGTCTCCCATCAAAGAAAAACCCAGGACCCAGTGACTTCACAGTGGAATTCTACTAAACATTTAAAGAACTTGTACCAATTTCTCAAGCTCTTCCAGAAAACTGAAGAGGAGATTCTTCCAAACTTATACTATGAGTCCAGTACTACCCTAATACTGGGTAAGGAAACAACAAAAATTAAAACTGTAGGTCAGTATCACTGATTAACTTAGGTGCACAAATTCTCAACAAAATACTGGGAAGCCAAATCCAGCAACACATTTAAAAGATCCTTTGTCACAATCAAGTTGGATTTATCCCAGGGATGCAAGGATGGTTTAATATATGCAAATCAATAAACGTGATAAATCACATCAACAAAATGAGGACAAAAACCATACAAAGGTATGGCAGCTCATACTTGTAATCCTAGCACTTTGGGAGGCTGAGGTGGGAGAATTGCTTGAACATAGAAGTTCAAGATCAATCTAGGCAACATAGCAAGACCTCGTCTCTACAAAAAAAAAAAATTAACTGGGTATGGTGGTGTATGCCTGTTGTCCTAGCTATTCAGCAGGCTGAGGTGGGAGAATTGCTTTAGCCCAGGAGGTCAAGGCTACAGTGAGTTGTGACCATGCCACTGCACTACAGCATGGGTAACAGAGTCAGATCTCAACTCAAAAAACAAAACTGATTATCCTGATTTGATCATTACTCTTCCCCTTAAATGTTTACAATTATTATGTGTCAGTTAAAAATAATAGAGGCCTGCTCGGTGGCCTGTAATCCCAACACTTTGAGAGGCGGAGATGAGTGGATTGCCTGAGGCTGCGGGTTCGAGACCCGCCCGGGCAACTTGGTGAGACCTCGTCTCTACAATAAATCAAAAATTAGCCGAGCGTGGTAGCGCGCGCCTATAGTTCCTGCTACTTGGAAGGCTGAGGTGGAAGGATCGCCGGAGTCCAGCAGGTCGATGCTGGGGTGGCTGTGAGTGTGCCTCTGCACTTCAGTCTGGGCGACAGAGTGAGACTTCAACTAAAAATACAAAATAAAAATAACAATAGAAGCAAGAAAATATGAAAGTCACTTGTCTTTGAGGAGTGAAATTGGGAGGAGAGGAGAGACAGCCCATGGAACTGTTACTTTTCCCTTATTGATCTTTTGGCACTATTTGACCATTTAAAAAAGTAATGAAGTACATGGATGCGTTAGTTGATAAGACTGAAAACTAGGCTGGGCGTGGTGGCTCAAGCCTGTAATCCCAGTACTTTGAGAGGCCTAGGCGAGAGGATTGCCTGAGCCCAGAAGTTTGAGACCAGCCTGGGCAACTTGGCGAGACCTTGTCTCCACAATCAATCAAAGTTAGCCAAGTGTTGCGACATGCATCTGTAGTTCCAGCTACTTGGAGACCGAGGTGGAAGAATTGCCTGAGCACAGCAGGTCAAGGCTGCAGTGGCCGTGAGCATGCCACTGCCCTCCAGACTGGGCGACAGAGTGAGACAAAAAAAAAAAAAAAAAAGACTAAAAACTAAAGCAAAATACATATTAATGACAAGTTCCTTTAAGGTACGTTAGGATTAAAATGTCCCCAGTAAAAGGGAGTCAGATATAGAGAAAAAGAAACATAAGTTTATCTTTTTTATTTATCTCTTTTTTTTTTCATTTCTGGTTTCTTAAAAATTTTGTTTTATCCTAGGGTTTCAAAAACAAACCAAAAAAGATGGGTCACATAAAGCCAGACTTGATTGACGTTGACTTAATCAGAGGTGAGTTCTAAAATCACTTTGTTTTTCATGCATATTATGTTATTCCGTAGTGATGCTTATTTTTTGATACCTCCACTATAATTTCGAAAAGTAACTTCTCATCATTCAGGCTTTAGCCCTTTTTCCTCTTTCCTTTAGTACTGTGTGACTCTATAAATTACATTGTTTTCATAAATGTGAAAGAGGGATGAATTTGCAGACTTGCTGTTGTGTAATTAAGATAAATACATTATTTAACATACAGTTGAGCCTGGCTTATTTTGAGCTCCTGTCCTAGTGTTTGAGGCAAGAAGTTATTATATTTCGTAGACATCTAGGGGCTCTTTTTAACTGAACAGGTTGTATGCTGAATTTTTCTCTCACCTGTTTTTAATGTAGTGTTGCAAGTAGGTATCAATATAGTATACATAAATGTTTGCTATTTCCTTTTATTATATGTTTAAAGGCTCAACATTTGCCAAAGCGAAACCTGAAATTCCATGGACGTCTCTGACTCGCAAGGGCCTTGTTCGAGTTGTATTTTTCCCATTATTCAGCAATTGGTGGATTCAGGTTACCTCTTTAAGAATCTTTGTTTGGCTGCTACTGCTTTACCTCATGCAAGGTAATTGGAGGAGTTGGAATAAGCAATTACCAGTTTGTTTTTGCTACTTTTGCCATAGGATAATGTTCTTAGGTTTACCCTTTTGATGGTTTAAAGAACACAGAAATAAAGGGACACGTGCCATTTGGGAGTCATCTTTTTTTTTTTTTTTGAGTTGGAGTCTCACTCTGTCGCCCAGACTGGAGTGCAGTGGCTGCTCCCGGCCACCGCAGACTCGACCTGCTGGGCTCTGGCGATCCTTCCGCCTCAGCCTTCCAAATAGCTGGAATTACAGGCATGCGCTACCATGCCCGGCTGATTTTTTTTTTTTTTTGTAGAGATGAGGTCTTGCTGCCCAGGCGGGTCTCGAACCCGCAGGCTCAGGCAATCCACTCACCTCAGCCTCCCAAAGGCGCAGGATTACAGGCTGAGCCACCGAGCCTGGCTGGGAGTCATCTTAAAATGATCTGCTGTAAGGGAGCAAACGTGATTGTCTAACTCTCTTCTCTCTTGAATTTCTTTCTACCTGTCTCACTGGCCAGGGCTTCCCAGACTTTCCTTCTGTCTGACATTTGAATATTGATTACCGAAAGGTTGCATCTTAGTTCTTTTCTGTTCTAGGTACTCGCATCAAGCTCTGTTGCTTTAAATATGATTGATATACTTACTGGTAATTCTCAGCTTTATATCTTCAGGACAGATCTGTGCTGAACTTCAGACTTAAATCTAATTGCCTGTTTACATTTCCATATGGAGATTTTATAGGTACCTTGAATTTACTTCTATAAAAAATGAACTCAATTTTTGTGTGTTTGTGTACGCGCAAACTTTTTTCTCTTTAGGGCTTCTCCTTTTCTTTAATCACCCAGTATTCAAGTGAAAAATTAAATCTTTTTCCTCTACCTCCCATCGGCTTTCACATCCAGTCTGTCACCAAGTCTGTACGTCCTTCCTCCAAATTCTTGACTGTTTAACTCAGTCTCTGCTGCCACCGTCAATGTCCACAGAACCAGCATCTCTTTGCCTAGATGACTGGAATGACATCTACTCAGTGCCTTCTTTCTACCAATCTTCTTCACAGCAGTTAGAGAAATTTTTTAAAAGTGGAAGCCATGCCATTTCACTTTCTTTCTTAAAAACCTTTAGTGACTTCCCGTTGGCCTTTGAATAAAAATCCTGAGTCTCTGCCGTGGCCTGTGATGCCCTACACGATCCGGTCCCTGCTTTTCTCCCAGATGTCATCTCCTACCATCTCTTCCCACTCTTCTCTATGCTCGCTCTGGGCATAACAGCCTTTTTTGGTGTTCCTCACACAGAGCTGTTCTTCCTGTTTGAACCATTCTCAAGGCTTTTCAAATAGCTGGCTTTTTTCCTCATCTTTAAATATCTCAGCTTGTAGCCGGGCACAGTGGCTCATGCCTGTAATCCCAGCACGTTGGGAGGCTGAGACTGGAAGATTGCTTGAGCCTGGGAGTTTGAGACCAGGCTGGGCAACATAGTGAAACCTGTCTCTGCAGAACAGTAGCCTGGTATGGTGGCATGTGCCAGTAGTTCCAGCTACTTGGGAGACAGAGGCAGAAGGATCCCCTGAGCCCGGGAGGTTGAGGCTGTGGTGAGCACCCATCATGCCACTGCACTCCATCCTGGGCATCGGAGTGAGACCCCCAACTTAAAAACAAAAAACAAACGATCTCAGCTCAGGGGTGTACCTTTCACCGAGAAACTACTCCCCATCTATACTTTGTAGGTAGTCCTACTGCCCCCAAGGCACTATCATATGACTCAACTTTAACTTCTGTTTCACGCATCACCATCTGATGTTGGTTTTTTATCTTCTAAATATATGCAGAGATCCAGTATATTCTCTTTACCACTGTATCCTCATTGCCCACCAGGAATGTTTTCAGAAAATGGGTGGTGTCAATATTATAGTTACATCTGTGCAGAAAGACATGAATTAGAAGAAGGTGGCTCACACCTACAATCCCAGCACTTTGGGAAGTGGAGGCATGAGGATTACCTAAGCCCAGCGTTCAAGACCAGTCTGGGCAACTTGGTGAGACCCCACCTATATAATACATTAAAAAAAAATTAGCTAGGCGTGGTTCCAGCTACTCGGAAGGCTGAGGTGGAAGGAGCGCCTCAGCCCAACAGGTGGAGGGTGTGGTGACTGTGATCATGCCACTGCACTCCAGCCTGGGAGTGAGATTCCAACTCAAAAAAAAAAAAAGACAGCGTTGGAGAAAGTTGGGTTAATGTGAAATTATGGGTCATTTTATTTCATCTGTCTCAATTCAAAACTTTTAAAAAAGTTATAGAGTGAAAAGCATATGAATTTATTAATCTATAGTTTGAGCTTTTGAAGTCTGTGAAAGTGCTGTCCAGTAGAATTTCTGTGACGTTGGAGATGTTGTTTCAGTGCCACCCAGTACAGTAGTTGCTTGGCCACATGTGTCACTGAGTACTCAGAATGCAATTAGTGTCAATAAGGAACTGAATTTTAAATTTTATTTTAATTAAGTCTTCACAGATATAATTTCATTGACTGCATAATAATTTGTCATATGGACAGACTATCATTTAAAACTGTCATTTTAATACCTCAATTAGAGTCAGTCCTATGAGTTTACCATAAACACCTTTATATAGCTTCTTAATATTCTGTGATATAAGGTTACCATAACTCACCTAACTCTTTTTAGTCTTGTTTGGACTGTAACAGAAATTCCATAGACTGGGTGGCTTATCAACAATACAAATTTGTTTCTGATAGTTGTGAATGCTGAGAAGTTCAGGATCAAGGTGCCAGAAGATTTGGTGTCTGCTAAGGACCCACTTTCTTGCTTCGTAGGTGGCAGTCTTCTTGCTGTATCCTCACATGGTGGAAGGGACAAGGGGGCTCTTAGGTCTTAGGAGTCTCTTTTATAAGGGCATTAATCTCAAAGCTGTAGCCAGCAGGTCAGATGTGAGGGTGATCCTGGGGACCTCCCTAACATTTCTTCTCACTTTTTGCAATAGACTAAGAACTTTTCAAATCTTCAAGCTCTGCTGCTTTTTTGCTTAACAATTTCATCTTTAAGTCATTTCTCTCATCTCACGTTTTACTATAAGCATTTAGGAAGGACCAAGCTGCACCTTCAACCCTTTGCTTAGAAATCGCTTCAGCTAAATATTCCATTTCATCACTTGCTAATTTTACCTCCCACAAAACACTAGAACACAAACACAGTACAGCCAGGTTCTTTTTGCCACTCTATAACAAAGATTGCCTTTCTTTCTGTTTCTAGTAACATGTTATTTCTAATTTCTATCTGAGATCTCATCTGAATGGCCTTTTTTTTTTTTCAAACAAAACAAAACAAAACAAATTTTGAGTGTTTTTAAATACATCTAAAATAACTTGAGTCTATGAGAAGTTGCACTGAATGGCCTTTGCCTCATATTTCTACCAACATTCTGTTCATGGTTACTTAGGGATTCTCTAAAAAGAATGAAACTTTTTCTATAGCGCCCTTCTGTTCTTTTAAATTTCTTACCAGTATCCCCTTTAAAAATCTATTTATGGTGATCTAAGCTTTTTCTAGCATGTGCCTCCAAACTCTTCTATTCTCTACCCATTACCTGGTTCTAAAGCAACTTTCACATTTTTAGATATTTGTAACAGTAGCACCCTGCCTTCTTGGTACCAATTTCTGTCATTCAAGCTGCTGTAACAAAATATATATGGCCTGGGTGGCTTATAACTAATATAAATTTATTTCTCACAATTCTGGAGCCTGGGAAGTCTAAGATCAAGGTACTAGTAGGTTCAGTGTCTGCTTTCTGGTTCATCAACAGTTGTTTTCTTACTGTGTCCACCCATGGCTGAAGGGGCAAGAGAGCGCTCTGGAGTCTCTTTTATAAGGTCACGCATCTCGTTCATGAGAGCTCTGCCCTCAAAACCTGATGACCTGCTTTGCTTGGTGACTCAGCCTGTAATTTCAGTACTTTGGAAGACTGAGGCGAATGGATTCTCTGAGCTCGTGGGTCTGAGACCAACTCGGGCAACTTGACAAGACCTCGTCTCTATAATAATAATCAAAAATTAGCAGGTGTGGTAATGTGCACCTGTAGTTCCAGCTACCTGGAAGGTTAAGGCAGAAGCCCAGCAGGTCGATTCTGGGGGGCCATGAGCGTGCCACTGCACTCCAGCCTGGGCAATGGAGTGACTCTGACTCAAAAACAAAAAACAAAAAACCAAAGCCTAATGAGCTGCCAAAGGCCACACCTCTTAACAGGATCACATTAGGAGCTGAGATTTCAATGTGGATTCTGTGACCTGCTCAGTCTATAGCATCAGTCTATAGCATAATGCCATCATGAACAAATTTTTCCTTATTTTTTTTTTTTAGAATTTATTATCTGAGATGGAATTAACAGATCAGACCAGGCACGTTGGCTCACACCTGTAATCCTAGCACTTTTGGAGGCCAGGGTGGAAGGATTGCTTGAGCCCAGGAGTTTGAGACCAGCCTAGGCAGCATGGCAAGAACTCTCTACAAAACATCAAAAAATTAGCCAGGTGTGGTGGCGTGACCTTGTAGTTCCAGCTGCCCAGAAGACTGAGGCAGAAGGATTGCCTGAGCCCAGAAGGTTGAGGCTGTAGTGAGCTGCCTTTGTGCTACTGTGCTCCAGCCTGGACAACAGAGCGAGACCCCAGCTGGAAAAAAAAAAAAAAAAAGAAGAACTGATAGATCAAGGAATGCAAACATTTAAGGCATGTAGTATGCAGAGTGAAATGACTGTGGCACAGTTCTTTTGGAAAGCAGTAGATGACAGCGCTTGCTTTTACCACAGGCTTACCCGCATTATTACAATTTTAAAAATTGTTGTCTAATTTGATATGCAAAAAATCTTTTGCTTATTGAATGTGCATTTCCTTGGTTACTTGTAAGTATGGCATTAAATAGTCTCCCACACACTTGTTATTAAATGTATTCCTTCCTTGTTGATATATTTCATGTTATATACATCAAATTGCCACGCACCCCATGGTCCACTACATAGAGTCCACTACTGTTTTAATTCTAATAGTTTTTCAAATTGTTATACTAGCAATTTGTCTGGTTTTTCTTATATCTATACTATACTGCTTTAATTACTGTAGCTGTTTAATATAGATTAACAATGAGCAGGACAAAATATTTCTCTATTATTCTACTTTTAACATTTTCTCTTAAGTTTTTTGCTTGTTCATTCTTTCCAAAATAGTACAGCATTATTTTATCATGATTAAAACAATAATAACAAAAAACCCCAATAACATTGGAATTTGGATTGGAATTCCTCTGACCATCCCTTTTTCTTAACACACATACACACAGGTAGCTATATTTTGGGAGGATGGGCAAAATAATAGACTGCTTTATAATGTTCCCTTTTCTATACAGGAGTATGATATATCTTTCCTTTGAATCAAGACTTCTATTTTATCCCTCAGCAAAGCTTTGTAAGAATTCTTCCCCCTGCCGGGTGTGGTGGCTCACACCTATAATCCCAGAACTTTGGGAGGCTGAGGTGAGAGGATTGCCTGAGCCCACAGGTTCGAGACCAGTCTGGGTAACTTTGTGAGACCTTATCTCTACAATAAGTCAAAAATAGCAACCAGGCATGGTGGTGTGTGCCTGTAGTTTCAGCTACTTGCAAGGCTGAGGCGGAAGTATCGCCTGAGCCCAGCTGGTCGAGGCTGCAGTGACCATGAGCGTGGCCACTGCACTCCAGCCTGGGTGACAGAGTGAGACTCTGACTCAAAACAAACAAACAAAAAAAAGATTTTTTTTTTCTTATAAGGCCTGCTTAGATCTTGTTAAAGTGAAACTCATTTTTTTATGGTGATAAAATATACATAACATGAAATTTATCATTTAAACATTTCTAAGTGTGTATAGCTCAATGGCATTAAGCATATTCATGTTGACTGGGCATGGTGGCTCATACCTATAATTCCAACACATTGGGAGGCCGAGGTGAGAATCGGTTGAGCCCAGGGGTTCGAGACCAACCTGGGCAACATAGTGAGACCTCATCTCTACAAAAAGTAGAAAAAAATTAGCTAGAGGTAGAGAGTGGCGTATGCCTGTAGTCCCAGCTACTTGGGAGGCTGAGGTGGAAGAATCGCCTGAGCCCAGGAGGTTGAGGCTGCAATGAGCTGTGATTGTGCTACTGCATTCCAACCTGAGTGACACATACACACACACACACACACACACACACACACACACACGTTGGTATGCAACCATCACCATAATCCCTCCCCAGAAAGGTGTTTATCTTCTCAAACTGAAGCTCCACACCCTTAAACAATAACTCCCCATCTCCCTTTGTCCTCAGCTCCTGGCAACCGCCATTCTACTTTTTGTCTATATGATTTTGGCTTCTTTAAGTACTGCATGTAAGTGGAACCATATAGTATTTGTCCTTTTGTAACCGGCTTATTTCACTTAGTATAATGTCCTCGGGGTCATCCACGCGTCAACAGTTTCTTCCTTTTTAAGGCTGACTTTGATTCCATTGTATGTGTGTACCACATTTTGTTGATAAATTCATCTGCTGATCCACACTTGGAAATTTCCACCTGAAGTGAAAATGTCTTATGTTTTGTTGCTGCTGCTGAAGCTACATTCTTTTTTTTTGTTTTACAAATTTTAACTGGTGGTTGCTGTTATATCTGAAATCTATGGACTTATCTTTAAAATTTTTGTGACCAACCTCTTGATTAAACTCTTTCTTATTAATTCTAATAGTTTTTCAGTGCTTTCCTTAAATTTTGTAATTATGCAGCCAAAGGTTGGCAAATAGTGAACATTCTGTCTCCTCCTTTCCCATACATTTCATTGACTTTTATCTATTTAGTCAACGTTTCAGAGTCATGTTAAGTAATAACAGAGTGGTCATCCTTGTTTTGTTCCTGATTCAGAGTATCGTCCTTAATGTGTGTTGTGTACTGATTTTACTTATGCATTCCTCAGCATGTACAAATGAGGGAATATGTTCAAATTCTTAGTATTTTAGAAGAGATTGGAACTTAAGATGAATTATCAATCAGGAACAAATGATTTTGTAATGGAATGCCCTTGTTGGTGCCAAGAGGTGGGCAGACCGTCACAGGTTAAGGGCACAGTCCCCCGGAGACTGCCCTCACTTCAGACTCTTGTCTCAAGTTTGAAGGACCCCAGGGCCACTCTCATTTCTGATCAGCTGCCTACGGTTTTGGGGGCCCCCAGGCACCTCCTCAGGTTTGGTAGGTAGATAGAATGACTTGCAGAAAGTGCAAAACTTAAATTGTAGTTGTACTACAGCGAAAGGCTGCAGATGAAAAGAGCTGCGTTAGGGCCAAGCCTGGGATGGTTCCAGACAGACTTGCACTGTCCTCAGGTCGCAAGATGCGGAGCGCTGCTACCCGGGGGAGCTCCTGAGCTTCACTGTCTGGAGTTTGTTTTTATTTTTTTAGGGATGGGGTCTCACTGTGTTGTCCAAGCTTATCTCAAACTCCTGGTCTCAAGGGAGCCTCCCGCCTCTGCCTCCCAAGGTACTGAGATTACCGGCATGAGCCATCATGCTCTGCCAGTATCTGGAGTTTTTATTGAGGCCTCATTATATAAGCATGATTGAGTTACTGGCCTGTGGTTGACCTCAGTCTCCTGATGTAATGAGACTCAAAGGCCCAACACTCTAATAACATGGTTGGTCTTTGTGGTGTGACCAGCCCCCATCCTTACTTACCTCATTAGCATAAACTGTTAGGTTCCATACGAGGGGCCTACAATGGATAGATAACAAAGATACTTTTAGCCAGGCACGGTGGTTCATGGCTGTAATCCCAGCACTTTGGGAGGCCGAGGTCAGAGGATTGCCTGAGCCCAGGAGTTCGAGACCAGCCTGGGCAATTTGGTGAGCCCTCATCTCTACAATAAATCAAAAAATTAGCCGGGCATGGTGGTGCACACCTGTGATTCCAGTTACTTGGAAGGCTGAGACAGAAGGATCGCCTGAGCCCAGCAGGCTGAGGCTGCGGTGGCTGTGAGTGTGCCACTGCACCCCAGCCAAGGCGACAGAGTGAGACTCCAACTCGGAAAGAAAAAACTTCCTGCTTTTTAATGGTAACTTTGTATTCATAAGTCAGGGAGGGCTATAGTTTGTTGTTGAATGCTGTCTTTGTTACGTGCGAGTGTCCAGATTTTCTTAGTATATGAAATGAATTTTGGTAGCTTGCTTTTTCTCCACACAGGAAGAGTTTATAGCACGAAGCTTATCACTTATGTGAAAATCTTAAAGAACAGCCATCTACAAAATTGTCCGTATATGGAAGTTTTTACATTTTCCATTGCTTTCGTCATTTTTTTCTGTGAGCATTTCACATGCACGTATAAAGAGGCAAGATAGCATAGTGTGGGTACACCAGAGGCGGCTGCCTGGGTTCAAGTCCCAGCTTTGCTCATTGCTTTCCATGTAGCCTTGGAAAATGCTCTTCTTCTGAGCTGCACAACACTTCAAAACCTGTGGTTTCTGCAGTATCTGGTTGTTTGTTTGTTTCTATAGAGACGAGGTTTCGCTGTGTTGCCCAGGCTGGTCTTGAACTCCTGGGCTCAGCCATCCTCCCGCATCCGCAAGTGAGGGGATGACAGGCGTGAGCCACTGCCCCAGCCTAACATCCAGTAGTTTTGTGATGCAGACGCTTTTAGACTTTCTAGATGATCATGCTGCCAGAAAGGCAAATCCTCTTCACATATTCTTCTTGACTTCAGGGTTTTACTAGGGCTTGGGTTTTTACTCAGCTAATGTGCAAGCGGATGGGTCTTGTAGGAAGCTAGGTATCTTGTGTACTCTTTTAAATGATGGATTTTACAGAAGCAATCTGTATAGCTGGTAGAACTGATTTCAAAGGTGAGCGCTGACGTTTTACATGTGAAGGCCTCTGCCGTTCAGTTATAGCGGTTGTCCTATACTTGCTGATGCCCATTGTGAACGCAAGTGAAGTGCTTGGACCCTTGTGCCTTATGCTGCTCATGGGAACTGTCCACTGCCAGATCGTAGCCACTCAGATAACCCGGCCCGCAGGAAACAATGGAAACCGAAGGAGAAGGTGAGACAAGCCATTACACTGGGACTGTGCGTGTTCTGGGAGAGGGATTGCAGAGATTGATACGGTCTTTGGCTAAATTAACTTGAAATCCCCCTTTTGTGTGTTTTAAAGATGTTTTTTGGCTTAAACAATAAATGCTTGACTTTTCACTTTTCTTGTTAGTGCTGAGAAACCTTGCTATGAACTTTTCATTCCAGTTGGGGTTTGGTCATGCAGGACAGATGCCTAGAAGGGAAATTTCTAGACCAGATTATTCTTGATTAAAATTTGTCTTAAATAATGGTGTTGAAAAATCCTCCTCTTTGAAATTCAGTCTTAATCAAAATTTGGTGAAAATTCACTATAAGCTAGGATCTTGCTACATGGAGTTAGTGCTGTAAAAATTTTACCTTCTTTCAAAAGTATATAATAAGAATTGATTTCTGCTGGGCATACTGGCTTATGACTGTAATTCCATCAGTTTGGGAGGCTGAGACCAGAGGACAGCTTGAGCCTGGAGAGTTTGAAACCAGCCTGGGCAACAAAGTGAGACTGCTTCTCTACAAAAAATAAAAAAAATTAGCTGAGTATGGGGGTGCATGCCTATAGTCCTAGCTATTCGGGAGACTGAGGCAGGAGGATCGCTTGAACCCAGGAGTTTGAGGCTGTAACGAGCTATGGTCATGCCATTGCTTTCCAGCTTGGGCTTCATAGCAAACAGCCCCAGCTCTCCCCAAAATTGATTTCTAAGTGGTCTAAACTTTTAATTAAGATTGACTTGAATTTTTTATTTGTTGAATTCATGTTATGTTTTTATTGATTATGTGGTATATGTGGGTTTTGGAACTGTTAAACATCTCATAGGTATATACAGTACTAGCTTCCAAAAGTTATATAAGCTTTCCTCAGAATATCTCTAGATTTTTGCTCCCATAAACAATCACTAAATAAGATTTTCCATTTTGTGTAATGAGTTTCAACATATTCTTATTTTTGAGTGTTATTTTCAAAACTCTTTTAAAAAGAAGTTTCCTTATAAATTCAGCTTAATTGGTATAATGTTTTCTAAGGAAATCAAGTGCTGTGCCCTGCCTTTTTTGGAGTAGGAGTCTCACTCAGTCGCCCAGGCTGGAGTGCAGTGGCATGCTCCCGGCCACCCCAGCCTCGACCTGCTGGGCTCAGGCGATCCTTCCGTCTCAGCCTTCCAAGTAGCTGGAACCACAGGCAGCTGCCACTACGCCTGGCTAATTTTTTGATTTATTGTAGAGACGAGATCTTGCCAAGTTGCCCAGGTTGGTCTCAAATCCTGGACTCAGGCAGTCCTCTCACCTCTGCCCCCAAAAGTGCTGGGATTACAGGTGTGAGTCACGACTCCCAGCTTGTGTTGTGTCTTATTGGTATTTTTAGGATATATCTGTTAACTGCATAGAGTATTTTTTTAAAAGTGATGAATTGCTATTATTTTGTAATTTTTTAATCATGTGCCGAAGAGGCAGATTCCCGATACCCACATTTAACCAACTTGCTCCTTCTGCTAGTGGTGTCTGGTGTGCCCGAAGATTCTTGGTAGTGCAAGTGCAAATGCTCTTTCTTGTAACGTTTCTGGATTGCAGCTCTAGTTCTCTAATGACTTAGCAAAATGGAAGCCTAGGACTTTGGTTTGGAATCTGTCTTTGCCCTTAAATCAGAAATGTTCTTGCATAATTTATAGTGACGTTAACTATACTTGATTTCAGGTAGCAATTTGTCAGTATAATTTTCTGCAGATATGTTTTGGGCAGAAGTAGAAAAGGTCTTGAATAATCTGAAGCTTTTGAAATGTTTTTTGTAGAAAATTACGAAAAACTGTCAATGGTGATGGGAGCCGAGAAAATGGAAATAATAACTCCTCTGATAAAGCTAGAGGAGTAGAAACTTTGGAATCTACACCCATTGTTGGTGGTTTTTGGGAGACTATCTTTGGCAACAGGTGGGAGTCTTACACTGGAATTTTTACTTGTATCTTACGGGAGAGAAGTCCGTAGTGTGATCAGGCCATAGGAGTAAGTAGTGTAGGTGTGCTGCCCCGTGGTGTGATTTTTAAAGGTTCTAGAAGGATTTGCTTACTCAAAATGTTGTCTTCACTGTCTGTGTTACCTACAAATGCAGTGACCTACCATAAAAGTTTCCTTCTATTTGACTGTAAAGAGTTTTTAGACCACAAGCTTGCAAAAGTATAAATACTTGGAAAGGGCGAATATTTGAAGCCATATCAGTCAGCATCTTACGAGAAAGAAGAATCTGTCAAAGGTCGGGTATTTTTCATTGTGAGGTTTGAACCCTCTGTAGAAATGATCCTGGTGTGGATGGGCAGTCAGGCAGAAAGGGAAGGGGATTACTGACAATTTTATCTCATTCATGGTTTTTCAGGATGTGACAGCACTAGTGTGACTCAAAAAAATACTTTGTCATATATTCACGATCGTGACTTTAAAATAAGGTTCTTTTCCAGTTTTTTGAAGATGAAATATGTTCACACATTTTTCTAAAAACGTTTGTGCCTGGCTACGTTTCTGGATTGGAACTCTAGTTCTCTAATGACTTAGCAAAATGGAAGCCTAGGACTTTGATTTAGAATCTGTCTTTGCCCTTAAATCAGAAATGTTCTTGCATAATCTGTAGTGATGTTAACTATGCTTGATTGAAGTGTTTGAGTTCTTTGTGCTGAATATTGTACTGGACCCTGTGTGTCCCTGCTCTCCATGAGTCCACCATCTAGTTGGGAAGCTCAGAGTAGCAGGTATGGCGTCGCCACGAGAGCGTAAGCACATGGGGACTGAGTCCATGCTCACTAAAGGCCAGGCAGCTCACTCGGCAAATGGAGTGCGTATTTAGGGCTGGAGTAGTCTGCAGGAGTCACAAAGGAGTTGAGAGTTGGTGGGCTTTGAAAGCTGGGCAGTGTTTACACAGATGGCCAGAAGCGAAGAAGATACTCCACGAAGTGGCATTCACAGGCAGTGCGAGGCAGGAGTGGCATTGCATTTGGGAGGATTCGTGGAGAGCACGTGAGCCTAGTCTGTGCATACCTGAAAGGTACATGCCTCCTCTCAGTTAGTTGACATGAGTCTTTGGAGAATAGACTCATATTCCCTGAGTTTCTATGAGTGAATGCTCCATCATCCCACACCCTTAGCAAGCCAGAGGCCTGAAAAACGTGACCCCTGGATATTCTTGATTCCCAAAATAATATGTTGACCTCCTTGGAAGAAAGTCATTTCATATAAGATGTTACTTCCAGAAGACTAGTTAGTAATCTTCTTTTCCTTTTTTAAAAAAATAGGATTAAAAGAGTAAAATTAATATCTAACAAAGGGACTGAAACAGACAATGACTCAAGTCTTCATCCTATCATCAAGAAGAGACAGTGTCGTCCAGAGATTAGAATGTGGCAAACAAGAGAGAAAGCAAAATTTTCGGATGGAGAAAAGGGCCGTAGGGTAAGACTTAGATGGTTGTGACAAAATCTTTTCTTTCCCATGTAAAATGTTCCTGTTCTTAGACTCTGCTTGAGATATGACATAGAGACTAATAGGTTTGCAGTTTGTCCTCACAAGTAAGTAAAACTACAGGCTATGAAAATAAAGTATCACATGGAGACTGGGACTTAGTCTTAAAATTATAGGAGTAGAACCTACTATTTTGCTACTGATCCAACCTTAGCAGTAGGCTGGTAGATTTAATAAGCAGATTCATGTAAAGGTGGCTGTGTCATATTCCAGAGAAGCAGGGATAGTACAGCAGGGGTTTGGGAAACTTTTCTAGGTTTAGGTAGAGATGGTCTGCTCTGTGTCTGAAACTAACTACACACTTTTACTCCATTGTCTGAAGTATTTGTTAGACTGTGGCATTTAATCCAATAGCTGTTGAGCCATTACTATAACCAGGCTTTTTTTTTTTTTTCAAGTCAGGGTCTCACTCTGTCACCCAGGCAGGAGTACAGTTGCACAATCAATGGTTCACTGCAGCTTCAGCCTTGTGAGCTTGGGTGATCCCTCCAGCTTAGTCTCCTGAGTAGCTGGGACTACAGATGTGTACCGCCACGGCCGGCTGATTTTCTGATTTTTTATAGGGACGAGGTCTTGCTGTGTTACCTAGGCTGGTCTTGAACTCCTGGACTCAAGTGATCCTCCCACCTTGGCCTTCCAAAGTACTGAGACTACAGGTGTGAGCCACTGGGCCTGGCTGGCCAAGGCATTGTTCTAAGGGCTTGACATATACTAACTTACTTTATATATATATTTTTTTTGAAAGCAGAATTTATTGAGAGGACAGAAAAGCTCCCACAGTGGGAGGGGACCTGAAGGGGTTGCCCATTTTATATTTTTCAGCAAGCCTGTGAGATAGATGGTTTTATTATCTTTACTTTTCAGGTGAAGAAACTAGACCCCAGAGAGATTTAGTAAATTGCTCAAGGTTGCATAACCAGTAGGTAGAAGAGCTGTCATTCAGGTTTTGGAGTTTGACTTAAGTCCTGGTTTTAAACTGCTACCTAATACTGCCTCATCGTTTAGGCTATTTAGTTTCAAGTGAATATTTTTTATTGAGATCAAGTTAACAGGTAGGCTTGTTCATTCTGGCTTCGTGTCCATTTGCTGTTTGGTAGTTTTTATATGTTTGTCTTGTTGTTGACACCTGCAGCTTACCAGAATGCTCTGGGCTGTCCCCTGTGGAGATGTTGCTGTTCTCTTTGCAGGAGGCTTTCGGGCGTTTGGGCAATGGGATTTCGGACGACCTGTCAAGCGAGGAAGATGGTGAAGCTCGGACGCAGATGCTGCTGCTGCGCAGGAGTGTGGAGGGGGCCTCCAGTGACAACGGGTGTGAGGTTAAGAACAGAAAGTCGATACTTTCAAGGCACCTCAATTCTCAGGTAGTTTGTATTGCAGTTTATGAAGTGCTGGACTAAGTCGCTGAATGGTAACGAAGTCTTGAACGTGTTTGCTTATTGTTTGTTGGTTTGAATTTTGGCAGGTAAAGAAAACCACTTCGAGGTGGTGTCATGTCGTGCGGGATTCAGATAGCCTGGCGGAATCGGAATTTGAGTCAGCAGCCTTCAGCCAGGTGAGGTATCCTTTTGGAAGCTCCGTGTCCTGGGTGTGTTTCCAAGTGTCAGAACTTTTTTCTTTCCCTTTCTTATTGGCTGCCCTGAAGTCGTGCTTGTATGGGCCTGCCCTTCCCTCGCCTCTGATGACCTGTGGTCTTACCTAACAGCTTTTAAAAATATATTTTTATTTTAAAGATATGGGGTACACTTCAGGGTTAGAGATACAGATGTTCATTACGCAGGTACCCTTGTTGAGGAGGTGTGCCTCCCCCATCTATCAGCTATTAACGACCCCTCGCCTCAAAAGAGAATGAATTCTTCTTTACTTTGACTGTAATCTTTAAAAAATCATAGACAATGCCTGGAAAGTGGTTACTTCATCCCTAAATGATAAGAAAGTAACTTAATATTCACTTGGAATGTCGAGTTCATCTTAAGCATTGTAAATGGGATTACAGTGACCGAATCCAGAATTTTGAGAAAGGACCTTGGGAAGCTGGGAGTAGAAATCTCATCAGGAAAACCTGTGAGTGTATAGGGTATATTGTATCATTTGGAATGTTACAGGCCAGAGGTGGGCAGAGCAGACAGCCATGGTGCCAGCTTTGTTTTGTTTAGATTGAAAAGGCAGTTGTGGCCCTGGAATAGCTTTCGTAGCTGCGTTTCTACTACCGGGGAGCTGCATTGTCTTTCCTTCGTCTGATCATCTTCAACTCGCTGGGGCTGAGTCCCTGGACATGACTAGGTCTGCAGTCGGGCTCACAGCATTTGGAGTTGGGCACACTTTGTGTGTGTCAGAAGGCTCAGCCAAGCCAGCTCTTCAGGGCTCTGGGTGTGATTTCAGGAGCCACCCCATCCCAGAACACCCTAGTTGAATAACTCCATGACTTGGCAATCACTTCTCAGGGGGAGTCCTTTTAAAGTCCTGCTCAGCCAGGCTCGGTGGCTCAGCCTGTAATCCTGTGCCTTGGGAGGCTGAGGTGAGTGGAATGCCTGAGCCCGCGGGTTCGAGACTTGCCTGGGCAAC